TGCTCCTGTGGTTTCTTTTTTTTTTTTTTTTTTTTGTTTTTTTTTTTTTTTTTTTTTTTTAAGAAAAAAAAAGATTTACTGTTAAAAATAGAAGTTCTTTCTGGGATGAACGCAAAGGTGGCCTTGTCCTGGTTACTTACATGCAGTGCTATGATCTGGATCTGGAGTGTCCTCCTGGTGTGGAATTATGTCCATTGGTTTCTTAAAATCAGGGCGGCTGTGATACCCACACAGGATGGGGCTCACTAATATCCCTCATGGATGATGGGAGAGTTTATCTAAGTAGTTAACGGTTGCTGGAGCAAGAGGGCGACTCTTCTTCAAGTAACCTCGGATTCTCATTGGTTCTCCAGGCTAGACCGGGTGCAATTGCTTCTTTGGTTTGTCATCTCAAGTGAGGAGCAGACTCCTCAGAAAGTCATATATACTTGGCGCCCGAATAATGACATGACCAAACCAAATATGAGCATGGGAGGAGCATTTGCAGCTAAGGCTGAAGCATCTGAGGATGGAGATCAGTTCCTGTGTGGCAGGCCTCCCCTGTAGATGGTTTATAGTAGTTCTTGCTATAGTTGCAGTTTGTGGCCCCTGCTCTGAGGCTGAAACATCTGGAGGTGGAGGCTCCTTGGGGGGGGGGTGTTCCAGGATGGCCAGGGGATTACAGTGGCATGCCTCCTCCGTGAATGGGGTCTGAGGGTAAGGGGAACCAGGGATGCCCTTAAATGGCTGATGGATTCAAGAACATATTTCGGTCGCTGAAAGTAGTAACTATGTGAAGGACTCCCAAGCAGGCTGTGATAGCAGTCACTTGTTTTTACTGTGAGCTGACGGCCCCAAAAGAACTTGTGCCTATGGAAGGAAGAAGTTGGAGTGGGAAAGTGCCAGCCAATACTGTCTTCTTCACCGGCTTTAGGAAAGTAGAAAAGGGAAGCTGAGAATGAAGCAGAAATGATAGAAGATACCTTCAGATCCAGTCCGTATAAGGGGGGGGGGATCCATGATTTTACATGTTGATGGGGCCTTCATGGTCCAGTGCAGGGAACTATTATCGTCAGGGAATACTCTGACTGTTTTTAGCCAGAAAAGCATTGTACCTGGACTGGAGCAGATATTATAAGTATACTGGAAACAGTGAAAGCAGTGAGCTACCCAAAGGTTAGATTCTGAGGATACTTTATGCCAGATTAAGGGCTTTGAAATATATTTATATGTGTGTGTGTATACCAAATTTTTATTGTATTTAAACTCAAATAAAACTAATAAAAGATGAAAGGCATCAAGATCAAAATAGAAATTAAACTTGATGGAAATAGTTAAATGTGTAGAAATGTATAAAAGCATAATACTCTGACATGTTCAGAAGCATTCCTCATCAGGAGCAGAGATGCTTCTGGTAACAGAACATAACGAAGGATTTAAATTTTTTTTATAAATTGTCAGTTTTTGTGTTTTGTGTAAATCCTGGTCTCTGGCCTCCATCTTTGGAGCCCCCCCCTCCTGTGCCCCTTGCACCTTGACATCCCCCTCAAGGAAGGTCAAGGTAGCCCGCCAAACCTTGACCCCTTCCCCACCCCGTGGTCGTGTTGGGGGCTTCCTGGTTCCCCTTGGGGCCACCCGAGAGCACAGGAGTCCTATTAAACCTGGATATCTTTTAATTCGGCTTGTTTTGATTCGGCATGATTGGGATTTTGCGTTGACGGAGAGCTCGCGTTAGAAAATATTTCTAACACTTTGTGGTTGTTGTTTTTTTTTTGTTTGCTTTTTTTTTTTTTTCTTTGAGACATGGTTTCTCTGTGTAGCCCTGGCTATCCAGGAACTCACTCCATAGATCAGGCTGGCTATAAACTCACAGAGATCCTCTTGCCTCTGCCTCCTGAGTGCTGGGATTAAGGGGGTGTGCCACCACTGCCTGGCTGGGTTTTTTTTTTTTTTTTTTTTTTTTTTTTTGAGACAGGGTTTCTCTGTGGTTTTGGAGCCTGTCCTGGAGCTAGCTCTTGTAGACCAGGCTGGTCTCGAACTCACAGAGATCCGCCTGCCTCTGCCTCCCGAGTGCTGGGATTAAAGGCGTGCGCCACCACCGCCCGGCCTGGCTGTTTGTTTTTTAAGATAGTTTCTCACTTTATAGCCCAGGATAGTCTGGAACCTCAAATGTATAACCTCAGATGTAGCTCAGGCTGGTCTCAAAGCTATATCATATATGTATATGTGTGTATGTATATGTGTGTGTGTGTGTGTGTGTGTGTGTGTGTGTGTGTGTGTGTGTGTAGTGTTGGGATTACAGGTATGTGTCACCATATCTAGCAGTACTGTCTTTGAACTGCTTGAATTGGGAAATTTTTTTTTAATTTAATTTTATGTGTATGTATATTTTGCCTGCATGTATATCTGTGCACCATGTAATGCAGTGCATGTGGAGGCCAGAAGAGGGCATTGGATCCCCTGGGACTGGAGTTAGAGACAGTTGTGAGCTGCCATATTGGTGCTGGGAATTGAACCATGGTCCTCTGAAAGAGCAGCCAGTGCTCTTAACCACTGAGCCATCTCTCTAGTTCTGGGAAAAACTTTTAAACAACAAAGTGTCTTCTAGCCTGGCTTATGAGGCTGTGAGGTGGGACACATGGGCCGAGTGTGAGTGCTTCAGAAACAAAAACTGAATAATAGAACTGCCCATCCCTCCTTTAGACCAAGGTTGCTTAACCTGAGGCAACACAAAGGAGTCAGCCCCCTTGAGAATCAGGAGCTGGAGGACAACAGGAAGGACAGACAGCTGCTGCTGAGGAGGCTAGGTGTGAGAGAGGTGGGTTGGCTCTTAGTCCCTTGTATCCGAGGGCCGTGTGTGCAGGAGTTAAGGGAGCAGTTAATTCAGCCGGGGTCTCTGGTGTGGGATTTGGGCTTTGTTGACCCCCTATAGTGCGATATGAGGTAGGAGGGTGTCTGGCAGAGCTATGTGATTTGGACTGGGCTATAAACCAGGCATTGAGGGGAGAGAGAAAGAAAAGCAAAGGGGCCTGTCTGACTCAGTCTGAAGCAAACATAGCAAGTGTGATGGCTGTTCCTGGTTATCAGCTGGACTATATCTGGAATTAATAATGCCCAAATGGGCACATCTGTGGTTTTTTTTTTTTTTTTTTTTGGGGGGGTGGTGTTTTGAGACAGGGTTTCTCTATGTCTCCCTCTCCCACCCCACAGAGTAAGCTGTACACATTCCTTTCCTACAAGAAAGTATACTGGGTATGGAGATAATTTGCCCTGGCCTTGAGTAGCCAGGGGTGGCTAAGAGGTGGGAGAAGCCACGGGTGTGCTTGCTAAAAGTTGACTGGACAGGTGAATTAAGAAGCAGGTATTAGCTGGGCGGTGTTGGCGCACGCCTTTAATCCCAGCACTCGGGAGGCAGAGGCAGGTGGATCTCTGTGAGTTCGAGGCCAGCCTGGTCTACAAGAGCTAGTTCCAGGACAGGAACCAAAAGCTACGGAGAAACCCTGTCTGTCTCGAAAATCAAAAAAAAAAAAACAAAAACAAAAAAAAAAAACCAAGCAGGTATTATAGAGGAGCATGGCCCCGCTCCCACCTGGCCCTCTGAGCTCCCTAGTATGGGGAGATGTGTTGAGCCCAGGATGAGGAGATATGAGGCTTAGGAGAATATCTGGATGACAGAGAGCTACCTTACCCGGTACCTCCCATCACACCGCTTTATAACCTTGCTCCTTTGAGGAAATTGTGTAAACAGCAGGACCCTTTCAAGATCGTTAAAATGTTTTAGTGTCTGTGGCTGCTGAATCCCTGATCAGGTTGGCACTTGTTTGGAACAGATGCTGGTGGGCCTTCAGAGAACCTGCCCGCTCTATAAAAAGGATCCATCACATAATGTTAATTTCTGAAGGATTTTCAGACTTAGAAATGGATCTGAAGGACATGCACACGTACTCAGAGGAGCAAGGATGGGAAATCAACCAATACAAGGGCCAGGGGTCCGGCAACAGCTGTGAACATCTTTGAGAATTTTGTGGTTAGGTAAGACACAGGTGCCACCTGACAAGGTGATTGAGACATTCTTATAACAGCCTGTGTCTACAAAAAACAGGAATGCCGGGGCTGGAGAGATGGCTCAGAGGTTAAGAGCATTGCCTGCTCTTCCAAAGGTCCTGAGTTCAATTCCCAGCAACCACATGGTGGCTCACAACCATCTGTAATGGGGTCTGGTGCCCTCTTCTGGCCTGCAGGCATACACACAGACAGAATATTGTATACATAATAAATAAATATTTTTAAAAAAAACAAAACAGGAATGTCACCAGGCATGGCACATGCCTTTAATCCCAGCACTTGGGAGACAGAGGCAAGCAGATCTCTGAGGCTAGCCTGGTCTACAGAGTGAGTTCCAGGGCAGCCAGAGCTACTGCATAAAGAAAAGAATCGAAAAAAAAAAAAAAAAAACCATGAGTGTCAACTCAGAAGGCACCTGAGTAGGAAAAGGCACAGCCAGAAGACATAATAAGGTTGTGAATGAAAGTTTCAGTGCCAGGGTGGGCTTCCTCCCTGAGTTGCTGGTGGGGAGGTTCCTTAGGTACACACGCAGTACACATAGTTCTGACTGCTGTTGGTTGCAGACCAGAACCAGAACTAGAAGCTCCCTCCATACTGGCTGAGCTGGTAGGTTGGAGAGCACTGTGCAGGCTGCTGGGGAGAGTTCTTACCAATGATCCTGCTTAGCTGTGCACCTCTGTGTTACGCTCTCAGCATGCTGTGCACAATTCAACCATGCAATAGTGGCATGACATATGGGTATGAACAAAACTGTCCCAAGATCTGTGGCAAAGGAGGTCAGGTTTTAGTGGAGAAGCTATTGCTGTCTTGTGAAATGAATGTGCTTTACTGTGAGGTTGTGTGTGCCCTTCTACCTCCCTCTTGCTTTCTACCCATCTGGCCTCCCCCACACACACACTTTTTTTTTTTTTTTTGAGACAGCGTCTTACCCTAGGCTTGTCTTAAACTCACTATGTGGCTGAATGTAACCTGGGATTACAGGTGTGTGCTCCAGTCTGATTTTCAGATTGGATTCTAGTATCTGTGCTTCTGTGGTTGGCCTTCATTAACAGTGCTTTTAGTATTAAAGAATGGTGATTGTTGATCAAACTACTGGGAACAAGTGCGCAGCCCTGAGTGGAAGAAAATGACCGTCCATCTCTAGCAGTCATGCTCACCAGGGTACAGGGAGCCTGCAGAAGAGGCAATGGAAAGAATGCCAGAGCCAGGGGAAAGAATATGTGAAAATCTGTCCATTAGGTGTGGCATAGCCATTGCCATCTGGAAATCAGAGCAGCTGTAATTACCCACATGAGGCCATCACAAGATTGGCCCGATAATACTCCCTCATGGGAGGAGGAGAGAGCCCGTAAGGCTCGTGTCCTCTGTAGGGATTGTAAGTATCTACCATTTCTAGAGGGAGGGCAAGACTGCCTGCAAATTGCCTGTGTTCCTGTAAGTCATCCTAATTAAGCCCACTGGTTATTATGCTGGACTTGGATGGAATTGTTTCTTTGGTCTGTTCTTACCTGAGGTAAGCAGAAATGACCTCCCCATGAGTTACTATCCCTAAAAGCTCATGTATCAAAGATCAGTGCCCCCTGGGTCTTGTGATTAGATGGCAGAACCTAATGGGAGGTCTTTAGTCTTTAGGTCAGTGAGGATGTGCTATCAAAGGGGGTTCTTGAGACCCCGTCCTTCCTCCTCTTCTCTCTATGGCCATGAGGTGGGAGGTTTATACTGTGTGCCTGCCATGATGATGCCAACTGACCATGAACTGAACTATGCAGCTAAGATCTAAAATAAAGCTTTTCTCTCTATAAGTTGACTGTGTATGGTGTTTGTTACAGTGATGGGAAGCTAACACGTACATCTTTCATCTCATCTTCCAATGGGAGTCCTGAGCGTCCTCTCCACATGGCCACGTCCACAGTCTTAGCAGTAGGCTCTGTCCTGTTGCCGTGCCTAGTGGGAGGGTGATGTGCCTGGAGAACCAGGCTGAGCCCCTGACTTAGGATCATGCAGCCACGTTCTGAGCTGAAGGGAGCTGTGGCCTCTGCCTTCAGGAGCAGCCCAGGCTGTTGTAGCTCAGTGCTGCAGTAGGAGCCTCAGCCTCTCACTTCTCTGGTCCTCAGCACCCAGAGTAGGGAAAGATGCAGCCAAGAGCACTAGCACATGCATGGGGTCAGCACTCTGCCATCAGCACACTTCCCTCCGACTGCTGGCCACCAGACATGTCTGTGGGGGTGGCTCAAGATCTGCTCATACATGATCACTGCCATGGTCTTCTGCTAAGAGAATACTAAGACTTTTTTTTTTTTAATTGAGAATTATTGCCAAGGGTGTTGGGGTAGGTGTGAACTAAGGAATTCCATAACTCTCAGGGCTGGGTCCATCAGGGGATCTCTGGCTGACACCTAGTCTATAATATCACCACATTCCAGGTTGTCCAGCTCGCTCTGCATGTGGTCGATGTATTGATTGATCTCCTTCACTCGCTTGCGGTTCCTCATGATCTCATCTTTGTGAATCTGGGGAATGGAAGGAGAGCCAAGTGCTCTGTCGGTGACAGCTGACATCACTTACTGTGGCCCGAGAGAGGGAAGGAAGATGTTCGCCTCAGATCCCCACCCACAACGTGCACTGCTGGTCTCTCTCTCTCTCTCTCTGAAGCAGGAGTTACAGACACAATGAAGTATATGGTTCAAGAGTGTGCCTGGGCCACACTGTCTTCATTGCAGGATTCTACAATCCTTAATTCTTTTCTGTACTTGTTTCTGATGGAAAATAGCACACTCTCGTAGCTAGAAAACTTGAGCCAGCCTGCTGGGTGGCTTGGCATTTGTTACTCACCTTGTCTAATAGATGTGCACACCAAGAGTTGATTCCAGTCACCAGCTCGTCTTCTCGGTTGTCAATCTTCAGGAGGTGAATGTCATGCGATGCCCCGACAGCATTAACAATTGTGTCTTTGTCAACAAAGAGCTGGAAAGTGAGAAGGTCTAAATGAGATCATGTGTGTCATTATGCCCTGAGCTGCATAGAAAATGGGTCCCTGGGAGTCCCCAGGCTGTGTGGCCACATCTAATGGGGAGCCCATATTGTATCAGTCACTTTGTAGCAGCTCATCTCTGGGCAACAGCCTGCTCCTCAACCTGAGCCATGACAGGTGTCATGCTGCGGTCCCCATCAAAAGCATGTTTTCTCCAGGGAGATGGCAGGTGGCTAGCCAAGGCAGCCTTGCTAGGCATATCGGTTCTCACAAAGCCTCTTTCTAGGTAGTCCTAAACCTCTGATAGTCAGGTCTGGCTGGGTCTCCAAGCTGTTCCAACCGTGGGCCCTGTAAGCTGATAGGTGTCTACCTCCTCTTTGTCTTCGCTATTTTCATGTCAACAGAATCGAGCTTTGCATTCCATTGGGGCCTGCTTTGCCTTGGATTGTTCCTGACATTGTGTTGTCCTTACAGAAAACTGGTACAACTACTTACCATCTAGGGAGGCTGGCTGGCTCAGATGCAGACTCGGGCTGGAATGGGGAGGGTCATTCCCAGGGACAGGGGAAGCTTGCTGAAGCTCTGAGGAAGTACTGTCCCACTCTGAGCCCAAGGTACCAGTAAACACAAGAATAGCAAAGGCCCTGGGTGTCCTCTGTTGAGAAACTGCAGATAATGCATACACAGGGGAACACAGCTTATCTGAGGTGCATGGGGCTTCAGGTTTTGCAGGGTTTGGCGTTGTAATATCTGCATAGTCTTTATAACACCCCTGCAATCAGAAAATCTGAAATCCCAGATGCACCAACATCTGTTTGGATTTTTGGGCCAGAGATACACAACAGTACTTTGCTTTGCTTCATTTGCTAGAGTATCAGCCTAATATGCTCAAAAATATGTATGTCTGATCTTGAAATTTTAATGTTTCTGCAAAAGGAAGTATTCTTTGATCAAATACTTGGGGGATCCAACACCTCTTGGCTCCCAAAGGAATATTCAGGACTCTCAAAGTGTCCTGAATGCTGTACAAAGTTGTGTGGAAAACAACCTACTTGGTTTTCTCCCTCCTGCCTTCTCTCTCTTCAGCTTACTGTGCACACACTCCATTTCAGAACAGTGTCTGTGGGGACGCTGGCTCACCACAGAATCCCATGTGAGGAAAGCCAGCTTAGCTGATGTGGGACAATAGATCAGCAGCACAGTCACACCACAGGAATGACGGGAAGTCATTCAGTTCCTTCCCTACTCAGGCAGCAGGCCAGGCTCGGAGCAGATCAAAAGATGAACACCTACCTGTGCACGCTGAGGGCTCAGGAGTAAGGAACCTAGTAATAGCCTTCTTTTGCTTTTGTACCTTTATCTTAAAAGTATAGTTGAACAAGAACAAAGATATTATGAATTTTCCCATAAATTTTGCTTTTTTTTTCTTCCCAAGACAGGGTTTCTCTGTAGCTTTGGAACCTGTCCTGGAACTTACTCTATAGATCAAGCTGGCCTGTCTCTTCCTCCCAAGTGAAACTTTGCTTTCTTATGACAGTGTTATATTGTACATAACATTCCATTATACACAAATTAAGACTTTACATAACTAAACATTATTTAAGCTTCATATAGCTCATGAAAGAAAAACTCTCATCAAGATTATCACTTTAAAAGGTTCTGACCTTAAACCCCGGCGGCGAGAAAGTTTCACTGAAACCATTCTTTGTTAAAGGAAGAATGCCATGTATGAGGGATGAGAACACATCCACTTAGACCAATGAATAAAACACTGTTATTAAATGGACCACAATCAAGGTCAAGTCATTTAAATAAGCAGATTCATTCTGTCCACATTGTGTCAACCACAGCTGGGCCCTCAATGAAATGAAAGTTTCCTACAACTTTGGGTTTCACTTGCAAACAGTTCAAAACACAAGTTGTAAAGATGACTTGCTTGTTCCAGGTTATAGGATCCACCTGAGGTCATAGCCCATCAGGGAGAAGCAAGCATAGACACTGCACATTTGTACACACCCATGCATGCTCCAGCTTGCTTGACCACTTGAGTGTCAACTGGCACTAAGTACAGCAACACTTACCTCCCAGGTTGCAATAGGAATTAAAGAACAAGGAAGATAAAACACCTAGTTTCAGGTCCTGAAATATCACTCAGACACTTCATATCCAGCTTGGAGGTCAGTTCACTGGCTTCTCCATGCAGCAAACCCCATTTTTAATTGCTGACTGTCTTGCCACAGCCCTAGGGAGTCTTGAAATGTGAGTCTTGGCTTTCCTGTCCTGGGCTGACATATATCCTGCATGGTGTGGCTCCACAGAAATTCCGCTAGGAGTGTGTGCAGGACTGGAGAACTGTCACTTCGTGGTGCACTCACACCCAACCTTCATTTTTGAGGGACAGTGAACTTACAAACTTGTTTTGCATAGTGTCCAATGCAGCTCAGGTGAGCATCTTCAGCTTGTAAAGCTGTGAACATTCTCCAGCCAATGTGATGCACACAAGATGCTCGCCACTCCTGAGGTACTCACAGTTGTGGAGTAGGGGTCATGAGATCTAGTATTTTCAATTCAGCAGCCACATCCAGAAAGAGCAACCAGCCCATCTCTCCCTGGATGTTTCAAGGCCAAGTCTCCTTTGGAGACAAAAGCAGCAACATTCCCCTCGTGAGCCACAACCATAGCACCTACTGTGTCTCAAATGCCCAAATTATTTTCCTTCCTTCCTGCCTTCCTCCTTCCTTCCTTCCTTCCTTCCTTCCTTCCTTCCTTCCTTCCTTCCTTCTTCTCTTCTATTCTCTTTTCTTTTTTCTTTTTTCCCCCTTTGAGATGGTTTCTCTGTGTAGCCCTGACTGTCCTGGAACTCAATCTGTAGACAAGGCTGGCTTCGAACTCACAGTGCCTCTGCCTCCAGAAAGAGGCACAGCTGCAGCATCAACTCTAGTTTTCCTTCAAGCAGCTTTTGGGAACGTGCAGCTCCTCCCATGGAGCAGACCTGAGCACTGACCCAGCTCCTGCTGGATGTCCAGAGCTCCTAAGAGTGCAGGTGACATCCCTCCTTTCTGTTGGCGCTGAGGTCTCCCTTCAGCTTGGATGGAATTTTCTGCCCAGGTTGGAGGACACAAATGCGGGAAAGCTGGGTCAGGAGTGGCATGGCCAGCAACATTTGGCTTCAGAGGGGTGCTTTGGAAACACCCTAAGCTGTGTGGCTTTGTAATCATGATTTGTGCAATGACCTCAGGGTAACAGAAGACAGATTGCTTTCATCCTCAGCCCTCTTCCTCTTCTGGACTATTCTTGCTATATACCCAGGAAACATTTTGTCAAGTCAAGCTGCCTGGGTCCGAATCACAGCTCCACTGCTGTAATCTCTGGGCTTCACTTTCCCCATCCGCATGGAAACACAGCGGTGCCTACTTTCCATGTCTACCTGGAGACTGAAGGGACCGTTTTGTGCCCAGCTCTTGACAGGCTGGCTCTCAGAGACTGCAGTATGCGCCAGCTATTGGTGTGCTCAGACTTTCTCATAGCCAATGTTTTTCTCCGCCGAAAGCAGGCCATTTTATTGCTTCTGCAAAAGACAGCTGGGTTTCTGGGGATTTCTTGTCTCTGACTGTAAATAAGTAAGAAGAAGGCGCTTTCACTGGCTCTCCCCCAGGTTTTTTGTTTTGTTTGTTTTTGGAGTCAGGGTTTCTCTGTGTGGCCCTGGCAGTCCTGGAACTCAGAGATCTGCCTGCCTCTGCCTCCTGAGCACTGGAATTAAAGGTGTGCGTCACCACTGCCCAGCTTACCAGGAGGCTTTGAAGGCAGTAATCTATTACAGTCTTGCTAGTGAGTCTGAGACTCCCTTTAGCAGAGAGACAGAGCCCCTTGGCCTGCTACTATGGGCACCCCCAAAATGCCTGTCAGCTGTGGTTTGTAGAGATGGGTGCAGAGACAACTACAGTTACAGGCTCAGCGCTGTCTGTCAGACTGGAGTCAAAATTCAGACCCTTGCCCTCACTGCTTGTGCCATCCTCACCAGGCATCTCTGAGCCTGCCTTGCTCAGCGTTCTCATTCACAACCTCAAGTTATAATGCTTCTCCCTTTGGTGAGGAAATGAGGTCACGTGAGGTCAATAGGTTGAGTGGTGGTAATCCCCTAATGAAGAAACTTGGTTGCCAGACACTACTCTGCTAAACAGGGCCACCTGGGTGAGAGGGCACACTGACCTGCCTCTCTGCCTCTGGGACCCATATTTTACTGTGTGCTAGAGTCACTAGGGAGTGAGCATGGTTCAGTGATGATGTTCACTGGTGTCACAGGCCTAGGAACTCTACCCGCTCCATGAGTACTGTCAGAGACTTCCAGAACCTCTCAGAGGAGACGTGCTTCTCGGTTAGGGCAGAGTAGCATTTTCCTGTCTGGTCAACAATGGGCTCTGTAAGTGGCTTGTGGAGAGGAGGTTAGTGTGACTGTGGCCCTGCACCCTGCTATCCTAGCCTCAGAACAGAGGCTACGGGGCCAAGGCTGCTGGCCTTCTGTCTGCACAGCTCAGCCCAGCTCCTGATAAGGCAAGGATTTAGTGAATACATGTTTTCATCCACCCAGCTCCAAAGTCATTCCCGCTGCCATGCTGGATGCTCCTGCCAGCACAGGCGGTCCATGGTGGTGGGATGATCATCTCTGGTCTCCTTCGCAAGCTTAGGTGAAGCGTGAAGAGTTGTAGGAACAAATCGACATGAACCTAAGTTTAAAACTGTGACCTGACAGATGGGGTGTGGAGAAGGGACAGCAGTATGAGAGGTACCCGGGGGAAGCCTCTCAGGAGAGCTAGGACTTGAGCTGAGATCTAAATGGCAAGGACAAGAAAGGCACATAGAGACTGAAGGGAGCATGTCTGCCAGGTAGAATGTGTACTGGCTGGGTTTGTGTCAACCTGATACAAGCTAGAGTTATCAGAGAAGAGGGAGCCTCACTTGAGAAAGGGCCGCCATGCCCCAGTCCTTCCGCCCTTACTCACCGCCCGCACATCATCTGGCAAGTCCTCATCCATCTCGCCCTTGAGGATCTTCTCCAGGGTGTTGATGGCGATCTCCAGGAGCTTCTCGTGGTGATGGTTCTCCAAGTCCCGGCACTGAGCCATCCTGCAGTCGTGAGTTAAAGCCAGGGGCAGAGCAGGCCAGATGTCTCCCACCGGTGGCTGGGCCTCTGCTAAACAAGGCCATGCCATCTCCACTAGAGAGACCAGTTTCTAACTCCTTAGAGTTTTCCACCTTCCTAATGCTGCGAGCCTTTACTACAGTTCCTCATGCTGTGGTGACCCCCACCCATAAGGTTATTTTGTTGCTACTACATAACTGTAGTTTTGCTACTGTTGTGAGTCATAAATATGCAGGATAGCTGATATGTTACCGCTGCTCTAAGGGTTCAAGATCTGCTTTGAGGTACTAAGAGGCATCAAGGCCTTCAAGCTGTCACCCACATGCATCAAAGCCCAGGGCCATCCTCTGGTCGCCATGTTATTCCTGTCCTTTTACTGGGTCATTACTGTCCCTTGGTGGCAGCTCACCTCAGTGTTCTCACTCTCATCAACTTCTCCACCCTCATGGCTTCCCAACACTGCAGCAGGCCTCACTAGTCCCCCATGCCCTCTTACCCCTTCTCCAAAAGCAGCTGGAATAAGAGGAAGGGTTTAAGTAGCCAGTTCCTAGCTTAAAGTTTCCCAGAGCGGCCATTCTCTGACATGGCCGGAAGTCCTCATCTGGAAACTTGTTTTCTCAGGTTTCTCCTCAGGGTCTTGGAACACGCTGATTCTGCTGCCTGGAATCTATCTCCTTTCACCTGGTTCCTGTGGCCACCTGTAGGTCTTTTTTTTTTTTTTAGTGTTTGTGGAGACTGATGACCCTGTACCCTGCATACCACTTGGTACCTCAATGACTGTGTGCTGGACTCTGAGCCCCAGGATGACAGAACCTGAGTCATTCTGGGGTGAACTTAGCACTTTGCCCCTATAAAGGGCTGATAATGTTTCACATGTTGGTTTCTAACCTTAATAAGTAGCCTGTCAAGCTTCCCTATAATTTGCCCTGTCTTCAGAGTGAGTAGTGCCTTATCCCAGAGTGGTTTTCTGCAATAAAAAGTCAGTCAGGAATTCTGGGGTGTCAGTGTCCCCGTGAACATCACCCACTTAGGAACATATGCAAGACTATTGCGCAGAAGTCCCTCTGGCATCCAAACTGGCACTCTAGCAAGGCTGCCACTGCTGAGTGCTGGGAGGCACTTCAGGTGCTATGGAATATGTCTGTGGTCACCAAATCTGCATCCTATGCTAGGAAGGGCCTCTTTCCTGGTGAAAATTGGTACATTTTATATTCTTCTACTTTCATAAACGGAGAGCTTTGAACTAGGGCCCTGTAGGGGTATAAACACCTTTTTGGGATGAGGACTTAGGTCTTTCTGCAAATCTATGGGGTTAAGTATTTTGGGTAAGAACTGAAGTGTGATCTAAAGCGTTCACTTTACTCTGTGGCCACCATTTATCCACACACTCTTAATCTCTACTTTCCTTCTCTTTTTTTCAGTGCTAGGCACTGAACCCAGGGCCTCACTTCTGTTAAGCAAGTTCTCCGAGCTATTCCTTAATCTCCTCTTACTTTCTGAAGAGGTTTCATCCACCTTTGCTTTTTGTTAAGAACCTAGGCCCTTCTGCTCTAGCTGCTCTAGAGGTCAAGACAACCCCAGGAGCCCAGGGTGCCTTCCTGTGGGGTGAGGTAGGGCTCATCACAGAAAGGATATAGACTTTGGACATTTTCAATAAACAGTCCCACCAAGTCAGTGATGTTTCTTTCAAATATGTTTATAGTCTCCTGGAAATGATACAGAAGATAGTCAACATGTGAATCAACATCCTCTACACCACCTCAAATCACAGACCCTTCTCGGCGAAGACCGCGCCCCTTGACTTCCTAGGGCAGCCAATGGCTAAGGATTGACCCCTCCTTTCCAGAGCTCTGCTGCTCTCCAGTGTCAGCTTACTACCCCCGTGAATGCTTCTGCTGTTGATGTTTTAAAAGATTTACTTATTGTATGTACATGAGTGCTCTGTCTACATGTGTGTCTGTGCACGGTGTACACACCTGGTGCCTGCAGAAGTCAGGAGGAGGCACTGTGTCCCCTAGACCTGGAGCTGCAAACAGTTGAGATCTGTCATGTGGGGTCTGTGATCCTAATCCAGATCCTCTGCACGAGCAACAAGTGCTTTTAACCAGTAGCTCTCATCAGCTACTGCCTCTGGGATTTCCATTTTTTAAAGATTTATTTAATGTACACTGGTGTTTTGCCTGTATATATTCTGTGTAAGGGTGTCGGATCCCTTGGAATTGGAATTAGAGACAGTTGTGAGCTGATATGTAGGTGCTGGGAATTGGACCTGGGTCCCCTGGAGGAGCAACCAGTGCTCTTAATCACTGAGTCGTCTCTCAGTTTTTCAAGACAGGGTTTCTCTGTGGTTTTGGAGCCTGTCCTGGAACTAGCTCTTGTACACCAGGCTGGTCTTGAACTCACAGAGATATGCCTGCCTCTGCCTCCCAAGTGCTGGGATTAAAGGTGTGCGCCACCACCGCCTGGCTAGGATTTAATTTTTTTATATTACGTGTGTGTGTGTGTGTGTGTGTGTGTGTGTATGTGTGTTTGTGTGAAAACACGTGGAGATCAGAGGACGGTTTGTAGGAGTCAGTTCTTTCCTTCCACCATGTGGGTCTCAGGGCTCAAACTGAGGTCATCAGGCTTGGCAGTAAGCACCTTTACCCACTAAGCAAGATCATCCTGCAGCTCTGACACCAGGCCTTTTTCCTGTGTAGCTGCCTCTGCCAGGAGCACGTATACTGACTCCCCTCCTCCCTGAATGGACTCCTTCCTTTCAGGCCTCTCAGCAGGATCTGTCCATCATCTCCTCAAGAGCCAGCTCTACTCCAGGGACATTTAATCTCTCTGGGCCTCTTCATATGTGAGCAGGGTTTCTGTGTAGTGTCATGGCAGTTAGCGGTTAGTGTAGTTAAATTAGCTACATCACCCAAATGATTTACCAACTATCTGGCAGAACCAGGACGCCAGGACCCTGGATAGATGTTAATGTTACCCTAGGCTGTTACCTGTTATCTGCCGGTTAGCTGCTGTTCCCAGTACTTAGCAGAGCACTTGCGGCCTAAGCAGATCTCAATGTTGTTGAGAAAGTGATAGACGAATGTGACTATGAAACCTGCTCCCCTGGAAAACCCTTTCCATTGCCTCCCACAGACCTCTAGCACCGCAAGGGCATTTGCAGGAGCCCAAGGCCAGTCTGCAGGCTGTGAAAATGAGCCCATTATCACTTGCATGTGAGCACCTTTTGGTGAATAAAAGGTCATTAGAAAGCACAAACAAGTGCCTTCCTGTGACATGGGCAGGTCAAGAGCATGGACCTGGGAGATGTTTGCATCCTGAAAACAGTCTCCCTGCTTGAGAGGACTGAGAGCCAGCAGCAGCCCTCCCCTGCGGCGCTGCCTCGGCAGTGCTTGAGCCGAGCAATTCCCGGTGGGAAATGAGCGCTGCTGTGCTGGGCGACAGCGAATCTATCCTGTGTAGGAAGTGTCACTTGACGTGTGAGGAATTGATTAGGCACTGTCTCTTGGCCCAGCCGTGGCAACATCTGATGAGGTCCAATTCATCACAGCACTTCCAACTCCCAGCCTGGCTGCCTGCAAACACGCAAGTCACCCTGGCTGCAAATGCATCTGAGACAGCCGTGCTTTTCATTTGCCATCGTCAGAGCCAAGTGACAGGCTCCTTGTGTTGCCGACCCCCAAGACAGCAAGCACAGCCTGCAACACTGATGAGCCTTTGTTTGGTTCCTGAGCGGAGGTCCACCTTGTTTCATGCGCCCCCAAACTTCCCCTTGTGCCAAATAAGCAATCTGCACACTATTGGGACTCTGGGTTCTTCTAGGATGGGGGAGAGGAGATTTTCAGAGAAACAAGTTTACCTCTCATTCTCCAAAAGAATAATTTCCTAGGCAGCAAAGATCGCCGTGTGTGCCTTCCTTTTCTTTTCTTTATTTGGCAATTGCTGAGAATGGAACCTAGGGCCCTGTCTGTGCTAAGCAAGCAAGCAAGCAAGCAAGCAAGCAAGCAAGCGCTGAGCTACACTTTTAGCCCTTGCCTGTAATGTATTTTAATAGTTCTGGAAGAAAGTGGTGTGTGCGCGCGTGCATGCATATGTGACATGCACATGCTCATTTTTATATGTGGTGATGTGCATGTGGCGGGGTGTGAATGTTAGGAGGTGGCAAAGGACATCCTCAGGCACCATTTGCCTGTTTTCCTCTCACTGGCCTGAACTCATATTTGCTAAACTATTGGCCAGGGAGCCCTAGAGACCCACCTGTCTCTACCTACCCAGTCTTCTCCTGCATGTCCACTGGGTTACACTGGACATACAGGGGAAGAGCCTGTGAGAGCATGCTTGTGAGGCTCTGCAGCTGCATGCTGAGGCCCCTGTGCCACGCCAGTCTGGCTTTACCTCCAGTTGCTCCACCAGCTGCATCTCCAGCGTCATGAGCATGTTGAACAGCTCGGTGATGTCATCACTGCACTCTATCAGCTTCTTCTCGATGTTGGGCAGTTCACTCTCTTCTCGGATGGCATTCACATTCTACAAACAAAACCCCTGTGTTTCAGGATTCGGTAGGTAAACATGTTACTTAGTAGTAAGTGACAGTTTGATTTTATAGGTAAAAACTTGGAGCCTGGGGCTGAAGTGCCCAAGTTCAATCATTAGCTCACAATCTGCTAGCTCTGTGACCTTGGGGAAGCTACCTGCTGCTCTGATTTATTGCAGGTGGAGGCACCTGAAAATGCAGGTGCCAAAGGAGCATTCAGACCTACCTCATCTCCTCAAAGGTGGAAGATGAAATTCTTTGCCTGTGCCAGGAGGAGGGGAAGACATTCTTATCATCAGAGATGGGAGCCAGGGCTGAAAAATATCTGCGCAAATAAAGCTTTTAAAACTAACTCATGCTGGGCATGGTGGTGCACGCCTTTAATCCCAGCACTTGGGAGTCAGAGGCAGGTGGATCTCTGTGAGTTTGAGGCCAGTCTAGTCTACAAAGTGTGTGTGTGTGTGTGTGTGTGTGTGTGTGTGTGTTATATTATATCATATGCTGGGGTTGTATTGTGCTCAGTAGACTGCCTGACTACACAAACACTACACGACAAAAGCACCAATGACAAATGTCAAGCTACACAGCAAACCGAGAAAAATACTCTCAAGGTCCTTCAAGGCTTCAGGGCTACTAGCTCAGTCTATAAAGAGCCATAACAAAGTAATACTTTGCCATAGAGGGGAGGGAAGAGAAAAGGGCAGAATGGCTGTAAACTAGACAAGAAAAATCAAGATGAGCGAAAATGAGAGGCCTGTGAGGAGCAGGCAGGCTGTGGATGAACGGACTTAGTGGGTGTAGAGGGGCACACTCTGTTAAAATCTCAAGGCACCCTGACTTAATCCCCGCCTGTGCTGCTGGCAGGGGACCCCCAGGGCCTTCTCTGGAAGTGAGCCTTTCCAGAGCTCTGGGACAGCCCTGACCACTCAGTCACTCAGGTAAGAAAGGGCCCAGTGCCTTACAAGGTGGGAACTGCCAAGTATAGGGACAATGTGTAATAGAACCCTAGCATGCCAGACCTAGGCAGAGTGAGGCTTGGAAAATAAATGCCTACTGAATGAATGAATGAATGAATGAATGAATGAACGAATGAAGAGAAGAAAGCATGGGTGTTACCACCGTCATCAGCAGAAGAGTGGTACAGATAATCCCACGGCTAACACTAATGATGATGATTTCTGGGTGACCCTGAATCCTTGGGGTATCTGATGTGAGGGAGGGCAGTCCCTGTGCTGGTTCAGTGGAGCTGTGTGTGGTGCCCTTTGGTGACACTGTGATCCCTGGCACATGGACAGAGACTAGGGGCCTCGGAGTGCTAGAGGGCATGGACATTGCAGCTCCTCCACATGAGGAGAGTCCTGGACCCGGCACAGGAGAAGGGGCCTTACCAGCAGATGCTTTTCCTCAAACTTGGCAACCTTGAGCTTGCCCTGGTTCTGGTTCTCCTGGATGGCCTCCTGTATGCACTCGTTGAAAGTGTCCAACTCTGCCTTTCTCTTCTCCTGCTGCTTGAGGCCATACTCGAAAATGTTCAGGCAGATGATGACAAATTTGTCCTTGTAGGTAAGTGGCTGTTAAGGAAGCTTGGGGCTCAAGAACAGGCTACTAGGGTTGTAACAAAAATGTCGACAGTCCCTTGCAGAGCATGAAACGCTGAACACTATGGAGACCACAGGCCGTCCTTCTGACAGAAGGGAGACAGAGGAGCCAGTGTTCTGGGGCTTGCAATCTGGAGCAGAACGTGATGGTTGTGGCATCTCTACCTGCACCTAAGGAACTCAGGAACAGGGCTAATGGCCTTAGAAGAGACTTCCAGAGGACTGGGGTCCAGCGAGAGCTAGAAGAAGCCTGCCAGGAAATGAGCTGGAGTCCCTTTTTTCTTTTTCTTTCTTTTTAAAAAAATCTCTGGTTAAATTAAAATCTTTTTTTTTTTTTTTTAATCTTCAGAGAAGGGCCTGTCCCGTGGCTCATCTGAGCTGAGAGAGGAACCAGGTGGTCCAGGTGCAAGCCACAGCTCTGATGGTGCTTCTGGGACCCACCCTAGCAAGTTACCTCTCTGGGCCTCAGTGTCCTTCCCTTCCCTAAGCTAAGGGCATGGAGGAAGCCACCACAGAGTCCTTTGGAGGCTGGGCATGGTAGCACACACCTTTAATCCCAGGATTTGGCAGGGGGTGGGGGGTGGGAGCAGAGGCAGGGAATCTCTGTGAGTGAGTTCTAAGCCAGCTAGGGATACAATAGTGAGACCTAGTCACAAAACAAAGCAAAACAAATCAAACCAAAAAGTCCTTGGCAGAGTCCTGGGGCTCAGGCAGGCCACCCCATAGGGTCTTGGGGATGCTGTGTTCAGGAGATGGGATGCCTTTCCACAAATCTCACAGCTTCATGGTGCTTAAGCATAAGTCCCTGAGGAGAGGGGTGGCCAACACGGTTGAAGCACCATCATCCCCAACTTATTCTCTTCACAGTGTTTGGGTTCTGGGTAGACCTCCTGAGAAAGGTGTCACATTCAATGCAGCCACTGATGTCTAGACTCTGCCTTTAGGATCTCACCAAAGCTGGCCAGAGGAGCTGGGAGGGCCATGGATGGAGGGTCTCACATAGAAGCCATCACAGGGTCAGCCAGCCATGTACTCGCCCATGCCCAAGCCAGAAAAAGGACAGCTGCAGGCACCGTGACATGGGACAGTGGCGTCCCTTCTCATTCCTGGGGAATCCTGACCGCTCCCAAATTGCAATTCTAGTTTCACATCTTATTCCCAAATGACACTTCCTTTATTAGAGATCCGTCCCTGTAAGTTTTCTGGAGGTTGACATCAGTGTTGGTGGCCCACAGACTATCTGGGACCGGCTGTCTCAATTCAGAGTCCTCTGCTTCAGAACGCCCCATGTCCTAGAGGTGCCCGCCACCTCCCTCTTTCCACTGAAGCCCATGGTTTGGCTCTCAGGACCACTGCCGCTATATATGACAAGTGGCATCCTCGGGCTCTGGCCAGCTAGGGGACAGATGCAAGCTCTTAGGCCACACAGATGAGTGATCCTGTACAAACTGCTTACCCTCTGGGGCTACTAATGGCAGTCACCTGGAGATGTGCTTAAGGGGATGTGGCTCAAGAGCAGTAACGTAGCCAGTAGAGACCCTTGGTGTAGAACACTCCCTACTCCTACCTCAGAAAACCCAGCTTTCTGGGCATGGCAGACCCAGCCTGCAGCTGTCACACAATGTGCCTGCAGAAATCTGGACAGCGCTGTCCCACAACACTCAACTGGTGTAGCTGGAATGGCCTTTTGCATACATGTAGCCAGCAGAGATTTAACAACCAGGATCTCACATGAATGATGGGGAAACTGAGGTACAGGGTCAAATGAACTTGCCCAAGGCAAGCTGGCGGTACTTGGACCAGGCCTGCACCCAAAGAGGCAGCAGTGATCCAGAAAGGATATGTCTCAAGGAGCTCACCAACACCAGGCAGGTAGGACAGCTTGTTGCCCTCCACATCCTCGGAATACATGCTGTCAAACAGGAAGGAGCCATCCAAGTGGTCGATGAACGCCATCTGTGGATTCAAATACCCAGACATGGTGACCCAGAGCCAGGCTCCTGGGAGGGTGGAGGCTGCCAAGGATTCCTGCGGGGGACATGGCACCTGAGCTGTAGCCCTCCCTCCCAGGAAGGCAAGTGTGTGGCTGCGTTGCAGGCACAAGGAGGATGTGCGCAGAGGTGCAGCAGATATAGCCGCAGGCTGTTTCCAAGAAGTGCTACCGCTCTACTGAGGTTCATACGGGGCTGGAGCTGGTGGTAAGAGAGCCAGCAAGGCACAGCCACAAAGTCAGAGCCCCAGCGCTGAAAACCAAACTGTGACTGAATGGGATGGGAAACAGCTTGATGGCCTTCAGTAAAGGAGTCACTGGAACCAAGTGTTTTTAGGACAGTCTCTTTGGGCTTGGGAGTGAGGGATGGGGACTGGGCTGAGCCTCTGGACATGGTGATAGGGGCCCTGCAAGGCAGGGAGTATGTGTCGGATCCTGTGGCCGCAGTATGCCTTACAAGTTTTGGGGTTCTGGGGATCCCTGTGGTTCTTTGCTTATTGTGACCAGCATTCTCATGGTACTTCTGTGTCCAGGGCAGGTCAACTGTCTGTGTGGTACCTTGTGCTCCGCCAGCTTTTCCTGCTGGGCCTTCTCGGCCTCCAGCCGGGCCTGCATCTGTGCCTCCCGGTGCTTCAGCTCATCAATGCTATACTGATGCTTTATCTTCGCCATCTCTTTCTGACCCAGGAACAGAAAAGGCACTGTTACCAATGGATATCTGGTTCCTCCGGCCACACATCCTCGGGCCTCGTGAGCATGGCCAGTGTGTTGGAGGGTATCTTTCATAAAAGCTGGGAAAGTCACGGGGCCTTGGAGATGAGAATGCCTAATTCTTTCCAGGCAACCTAAGATTAGGGGAACCACAGAACTGGGGGTGCTCCAAGAGCCTGCCCTGAAGCAGCCTGCCGTGCCCCTGGACCCTTCCTGAGTTCTATGGTACCAATGGGAGATCAGGCATCGGGGTTAGAGGGGAGTTCCATTGCCTGCTTGATAGAGTTCTGCTCTTATGAACTTTGACTCATTTATTTTGAACCATGGTAACATTCTATATGTACCAAAGAATTGTTTTAAAATAAACTTGTTTATGATTTATTATCAATAAATGTTTGATTTGCATATGTATTTACCTACAGTCATGTTAAGTTTTTTCAAGCAAAAAGGGTCTACAAGAAGAAAACTGTAGGAACCCCGCTCTGCGATGAAACCAAGGCTTAAAGGGGGTGCTTGGTTTTCAGTTTTTTGAGACAGTTAGAATAGCTGAAGATGTGCCCAAGCTATTGATCCTCCTGCCTCAAATTCTCAAGTGCTGGGGTTAGAGGAGTGTGCCATCTTGTCCATTGAATTTAAGAATCTCAGAATTGGCTGGGGGGTAGGGTGGTGCACACCTTTAATCCTAGCACTCACAGGCAGATCTCTGTGAGTCTGAGGCCAGCCTGCTACACAGAGCAAGTTCCAGGACAGCCAGAGTTACACAGAGAAACCCTGTCTTAAAACACCCCCTACACAGACACACTTTCAGAATTGGAGCTGGAGAGATGGCTTAGTGGTTAAAAGCACTGGCTCCAAACGATCCATGTTCAATTCCCAGCACCCACACGACAGCTCACGCCTGTCTGTAACTCTCCAGCACCAAGGCTTCTGACACCCTCACACAGACATACATGCAGGTAATACACCAATGCACATAAAATTAAAAAAAAACTTAAAAAAAATCTATGAAATAAAAATCTAAGAGCCAGGCATTGTATCCCTGTAATCTCAGCACTTGGGAAACTGAGGCGTGAGGATCAGGAGTTCAAGGTTATTCTTGGCTAAGTAAGGAATTCAAGGTCAGCCTGGACCACTGTGGTCTCAAAAACACAAATAAAACCAAAGAACAAGATAAATACTCAGGTTCATATTGTCACAGAGAAGTCAGTAGAGGTGGGAAGAGCTCTCTAACTCCTCTTATTTCTGTGAACAGCACAAGACTTGGCTTTGATGCCAGCTTGTTCCTCAGAGTTGGGCTCTCTGCTATAGGCTGTAGAGGAACAGGGTAGACACTGGGGCTAGCCCTCCCCTCTGTCCAGATAGCCTTTCCTGGGTACCCCCTGAATTCCTCAGCATGGCCAATATAGGTTCCTCTTTCTCAGCAGAGGCGCACAACTTCCTGTGGGAAGAACTGGGCAGGTCAGCAGCCTTTGGGTTTCCAGGCACCTGATATAGAGAGACTTCATAGTCTTGCTACTAAAGGCCTCACACACTGAACCATATGTACAGAGGGAGCAGCAGGAGAAACACTCATATATGGCAAGGGAGAGGGGACAGAGGCAGGCAGCAGAGAGGGAAATCTCTCTCTCTCTCTCTCTCTCTCTCTCTCTCTCTCTCTCTCTCTCTCTCTCAC